ACCGGTTATTTATTTATTTATTTTTTCCACAAGTCCCATAACTCTGATATTGTGATTATATACGAGTTTAGACAGTTAGAAAAGGAGAATAGTGATCGAAATTTTGAGTTTTACTACCGTCGTAGACTCCACTAAAAAGTAGACTAATGACCGTATGCCTCATTTAAGGAGATAAAATGTTCACTTGATCTGAAAACTAATTGTTAACAACTAACTCATACTAATTTTTTAATTATTATCTTTGTCCCAAAAAAAAAAAGAAAAGAAATGGAGAATACCGACACAGGAAATTAAAATGATTCAACTCAAAATGAGGAAAATTAAATAGGGTGAGAGAGGGGCAATATCTCACATGGCTTGCATACATGATCTCTCTATACCTGCCAAAGAACATGACATGTTTTTCCTCATACTTACTTTACAAAGCATGAGAATGCGAGTAATGAAAAGGGAAAAGAAATAATTACAAACAATTTTTCAATTTAATAACTTTCATGAAAGCTCTCCAAAAGCTTAGAATTGACATCTTGGAATCAATATGACATAATCTTTTACTTTATGACAAGAAATGAAACATTTAGTAATATATATTATCACATTTGAAAGTAAATCGAAAGAGAAATGAAAGCAATGGGCAGGCACACAAGACTAAGCATTTTGGTTTAACACAAAGAGAAGTTTTCCTTGACCGCCGACACATGGCTTAAACGTAAATATAAGCCGGTGTCACTTACTCATGTCTTTAATTCCTTCACCTGTCCCCTCTATATCTTACCCCACACCACTACTCTTTAAATTCAATCCTCTTCTTCTCTCTTCTTGGATCCAATTATTCAATCCATCTAATGCATTAGTTCTTTGTTTTTAAACCACGTTGCTATCCAAATTCTTTCTTTGTCCAACCAAAATGGCAAATTTCTCTGTTTTCCGTTTGTTTCCCCTGTTTTTCTTGATCGGTTTGCTCTGTTTTTCCACCCCTGCTGTAACCGGCGCAGATTTGTTGCACGGGGAATGTTTGAACGTTCCAACGTTGGAGTTTCTCAGCTCTCTGTTGACCACCATTGGTGCTTTAAAAGACGTAGCGTCTATAGTCAACAACCTTGGGGGCTTTTTTGGTGATTTTCGACTTGGGAATGCAATTTCTGATTGCCTTGATTTGCTGGACTTTTCCGTAGATGAGTTGAGCTGGATTCTGTCGGCTTCTCAGAATCCCAGTGGTACTGTAGTTTTTGCCCTTTAGGTTTATGTTAATCATTTTTGGTTTTCTCGAAAAAGTAAAAAACATGGAATGTTTTTGTGTTAACCATTTGGTGGTGTTCGACAAAATGTGTCAAAGAATGGAAGTATGCATGGTAGCACATGGGGTGATTCATGATTGGAATTATTCAATTTTCAGGTAAACATAACAGCACCGGCGATATGGGTTCCGATCTGAGGACATGGCTGAGTGCTGCAATGGCTAATCAGGAGACCTGTATTGATGGGTTCGAAGGTACCAATGGGGTGGTAAAAAATGTGGTGGCAGGGAGCCTTGGCCAAGTCACGTCACTGGTCCGTGATCTTCTCACTATGGTGCATCCATCCCCAAATTCTGGATCCGGTGGAGGCGCAGTCAATGGAGGGAAAAAGGGTAACGGTGGCGGTGTAGGGCCTCCTAGATTCTTTAATCCCGGAAGGAAGCTGGTAGACAATGAAGAATTTCCATCTTGGGTCAAAACTGAGGACAGGAAATTGATAGAAGCAAATGGGGTATCGGTTGATGTTGTTGTGGCTGCTGATGGAACAGGAAATTTCACCAACATAACCGCCGCCGTGGCTGCGGCACCCGATGAAAGCATGCGCCGATTTGTCATTTACATCAAGAGGGGTGTATATAAAGAAAATGTTGAGATTAAGAGGAAGAAATGGAACATTATGATGGTCGGAGAAGGTATGAACGCCTCTGTAATATCCGGTAACCGGAGTTTTATCGACGGTTGGACCACGTTCCGAACAGCCACCTTTGGTAAGTATCGATAATTTTAGTTATTACTCTTTTCATTTCACTTATTAGGAAAACCCATTAATTTTCACGAAATCTGCAGCCGTGAGCGGGCGAGGATTCATTGCGCGGGACATAACTTTCGAGAACACGGCAGGACCCCAGAAACACCAGGCGGTGGCGCTCCGATCAGACTCCGACCTGTCAGTTTTCTTCCGGTGCGAAATCAAGGGGTACCAGGATACACTCTACACGCACACCATGCGCCAGTTCTTTCGAGAATGCACAATCAGCGGCACGGTGGACTTCATATTCGGCGATGCCACCGTAGTGTTCCAGAAGTGCCAGCTCCAAGCTAAACAAGGCTTACCGAATCAGAAGAACACCATAACGGCCCATGGCAGGAAAGACCCAAATCAGCCCACCGGCTTCTCCATCCAATTCTGCAACATCACTGCCGATTCCGACCTCCTCCGGTCTGTTAACTCCACCCAGACGTACCTCGGCCGGCCGTGGAAACAGTATTCCAGAACCGTCGTGATGCAGTCTTATATCAGTAACGTTATACGGCCGGAAGGGTGGCTGGAGTGGAACGGGAATTTGTATTTGGACACACTGTATTACGCAGAGTACATGAACTATGGGCCAGGAGCTGGGCTGGGCCATCGAGTCCAATGGCCAGGATACCGTGTCTTAAATAATTCGGCCCAAGCTGTTAATTTCACTGTGGCCCAGTTCATTGATGGGAACTTGTGGTTGCCGTCAACTGGTGTTAAATACTCGGCAGGACTGCTGGTATAATCAAAAAAGAAAAAAAAAAAGAAAATGAAGAAAAATTGTTTTATAAATTGGTACAATCTAGACGGTAAAATAAGTAGATTCAAAATATTATCGTATTATATTAATTTTGGGTCGGTTTTATTAGTCCATGGGTTGATGCAGAATCAAGACTCAACCTCTCTCTGTCTCTTGCTTTTGCCTCCGTTCTCCGGTGCTGTATTGGTTTTGTTCGAAAGCTTTTGTGCTTTTGAGGTTTTGATGCTTGAGCCGTTGGGCTTCCCGACCGCTTAAGCATGCTGGAGCCACCCTGTGCTCCCTCCTCCGATGACCTTTCCGGGTCTGTCGGATTTTGAATCCCTTTCCGGTAACTCCTTTTGGTTTTCTTGTTTTTTTGGTTATTTTGTTTTGCTTTGTATTCTTGTATAGTTTATGTTTTTCAGATCAGGCAACCCTCAGCTCTATCCTATAGATCTTGGTAGATGCTCGTTGATTTTCCAGATCTAGCCACCTCCGGCTTGGATCTCTGCCGTGGCGTCATGGAGTTCGCACCATCCTCTC